GAGAGAGAGAGAGAGAGAGAGAGAGAGAGAGAGAGAGAGAGAGAGAGGGAGAGATTGAGAGCGAGAGAGAGAGAGAGAGAGCGAGAGAGGAAAAGGCGTTTCCACGTTTCAGCAGCTGGTGACCGAGCAGCGCACAGCGGAGCAGACAGACAGCGAGCGGTATCGCGACCATCCTGAACCCGGCTTTTCTGTTTAATAACCTCCAAACACTGACTGACAGCTCGTCTCGCCCGTGTCCCCTTCACGGCCGCGTTCACCCACGCAGATGAAACACACTCAAATCCATCACTGAACGACGCGAGTGGACTTTTTGTTGTTGTTGTTCTTCTTCTTCCCTGCAGAACGTCTCTCTCTCTCGGGCCGAAATAACATTCCTACACAGGAGATTATCCTCCCGCAGACTCCCGCATCTCTCTCCCTGACTCATATTTGCTGCGCTCGGGGTGAGTACGTCTCTGTTTGTTTTTCTCCCATGTAAACCGCTTTCTTTCTTTATAGTTATTATTTATAGTTAATTAATTGGGCCGAGGTCGGAGTCAGTCCGCCTCCCTCATTCATTCATATGGAGCATACCGTTACATGATGGGGCTTCACAGCCTGCCTGTAAAATGTAGTTTTCCGGCTCGTGTTGGCATCAAGTGGGTCGATTACACAGCAGGGGGAAAAGTTGAGGAAATGGGGCGTTCATGGCCCCTCATGGATGTTGAATTTGACATATTCATGAAATGAATGAAATTCACTCTTATGGGGACGTTCTTCCTGTTCTCTGAAACCGATTTGGACCATAACTGAAAAATTCCACAGCAAAAAAAACCATTTATTGTTTATGTAACTAAAAGCAAGGAGCCATGTGAAAACGCGAGATGCCTTGACAGGACTGCAGCGTTGAACTTGACTATTAAGTGTCAAGTTGGTGGATTTCCCCCTTCTCAAGAGAGCATTTAACACACCATTAATTAAACTAATTGGATTGGGTTTAGTGTCTCTGGAGGCATTCACGATACCCAATGTCCTTTTCCTTACTTCCTAGCAAAATATTCCCATAATATTCCCGTTGAAACTTGATTTAGCAATGTTGTTATGTATTGTCCTATTGGATCATGATGATTTACATTATTTATTTATTGATTTCTAGCCTGTAGGAGTCTGTTTCTTGAGTGTTTTATACATATATAAGGATCGCTGCAGCCAGATTATCAGGAATGTTCTGCCTCTAAAAACACAGTCAGAGGAAAGAGGCAATAATAAACTGTGTGTGTGTGTGTGTGTGTGTGTGGACGGGGTGGGTCTTTAATGAATGGATGTGTCTGGCCTGCCACTACTGCTCCTCCCCTCACCAATAACTGGTTTGTATCACCTAATGTTCCTGTATTGTATTTTATTTCAAATCCCCTGGTGATGTCATGAAAGTACTCCTATTGTATTCTTGTTGAATTTTTATTTTTTAAGCCTAAACCGACATTCTGTTTAAGCTGAAAATAGTTTTTGTTTTGCATTAAAATTTGTCTAAATTCTTAGGAACTCATAATTGTGTTATAAATAGACTAACAGCGGTAAATATGAAGCTACATGTTTACGCGATAGTGTTTTGCAATGCAGAGCTCTCTGTAGTCATTGACTTTGTCTTATTTTCTCTTTTGGGGTAAAAAACGTGGTCTAAAATGTCAGAAAATAGTGAAAAATTACCATCACGATGTCAGAGACATAAGGAAAGGACGAAGACATAACCTTTGCATGAAAATGACAAACAATCAAAACAATTGCTTGATTCCTTAATCGTTACTAGTTTCAGTGTCCTTCTCTTGCACCCTGACCCCTATGTGACACACGCATCCATCCATGTGTGACATTTGTACAGCATGACAGCTGTCCGTCCGTTTCCTGTGAGGCTGCATTCCAGTCCTATCGTCCCACCACAGGCTGTTAAACAATCCCAGTACAGCAGAACAGAGTCAACTTTACTTCATCGAAACTGTGTGTGTGTGTGTGTGTGTGTGTGTGTGTGTGTGTGTGTGTGTGTGCCTTGACTCAGCTTTTTGGGAGCCGGTCTCGTCTCTGATACAAATCGATCCGTCTTCTCGTACAGAGCAACAGCAACAAAAAAGAAAAGAAAAGTGGGCAGCGCAGCAGAAATGTGCTTCCTCTCCCGGGTTCACTTCCTCTCTGTGTTTGTCCGCGGTGTCGGTTGTCCCCCCGCCGCCGGGGGAATTTTTGTGGTTGGCTGTTTACAGGCACTGAGTCAAACACAGTTTTCGGGAAGATCAGTGTTAAACTGGTGTAACTTGATGCAAATCAAAACAAAATAAAAACGTGGGTTTTTTTCAATTTTTTGACATTCCTGATATGGACTTTACTTGTCAGCAAGCTGTTCATTCTCACATGTTCCAGACAGCAGATAATAGAACAGAACTTTTGCAACTGAAAACCCATAAATTCACTCTCAAGTTTATCCAAAAATGGGAAAGTCTGGTGTTGAGTACATTCACTTCTGCAACCATAGGAAATGAGGAATGGAGTCTTTGTAACTGGACTCGCCGACATCTGATCTGTTTCCTCTCTCGTCTCTTTTTGGTTTTCTTTGTTTTGAAACATCACAGATTAACCGGGGGGGCATCACAAAGCTTCAGTCAGCCAACTGAACGCTTTTTCAACCTTTTAGGATGAAGAGAGCAGGAAAGGTTTGATTTTTATTAACCAAATGTAGCTCTCGCTATTCAGTTTGTGTCCTTAAAGAGCTAAAATTAGGTCACTGACTTTGCTAATATTCAGTGTTTTTATTATTACTGTCAGGATTGAGGCTTCGCTACAGGCCTGCATTGTTGTCAGTGTAGACAAGTCTCTGAAAAAGCCTTTTATATCATCATGCCACCCAGGCTAACCTCCGTCCGCACTGACAGGCCGACATTGGATATTTAATAAAGCCCATGTATCGGCCTGATCCGACAACAATGCACGTCGACACAGCACGCTGGGTAATTAAGATCACAGTCGCGCTGAAAACCAACACACACGTGTGTCAAAGTGAGGACTCGGATGTCATGAAAACGACCCGTCACTCTGAAAGCATCGCCTCCTGCAGCCGTTGATCCTCTGACGTTCCTCCTGGTACACAGCGGGGGACAGATACGTCCCTGTCAGAGCCCAGCCTTTTGTCCCCGGCCTTTGTTTTCCGGTCTCTCAGGAAGCTATGACTTACCGGCATTATGCCGCGTTACATCACTGCCTGTAATCTGCGCCACGGCTGCCCGCTTGCATCGTCCTCCGCGTCGCTGCCCGCTTGCCTCGGGTCTGTTCTGGGCATCCATTTACTGATTAAACTGTTGGAGCAGATGCCTCCCTCTAACTCAACAGGAAAATGTTTCTGAAGGTAAACAACTACGTTGTAGACGTGCAACAAGAAAAATAACTCAAATTAGCGCCGTTATCCTGCAGTCCACAACTGATGCAGAGCTTGAAGTGACGCAGAGAGCGGTGACATTACGGAACTACAGGGGCCAGTGCAGTCCCCAAAAGTGAAAAATAATGTGTGGTTCGGATGCGCTCGGATACCTCGGCACATGCTACACCCTTCCACCAAGTTTCATGAAAATCGGTCCAGCAGTTTTTCCGTAACCCTGCTTACAAACGGACCAAACGAACAAATCACCGAACCGAACCGAAAACCTCCTCCACGGCGATAATAATCCTCTGGCTCCAAAAATATCGTCTTTCTATTAATGACTCCGTCTGTTCCTGTGTTTTTAATGGGACAGGGCATTGTAAAAGAGCAAACTGCAAAACGTAGCTATGAATAAAGGTTAAATACATAGTTGACTAATTGCCTCAAAGACTTTGGTTTCCATTGACCTTACCTGGGTTTAAACGAAAGGCTGCCACCTAAACTTCAATGACATGAATCATCAGTTGAAAAGCCCCCCAGAGCTAAACCTCATTTGTCAGTCAAATCACTGCACTTTTTCTTTTTTAACTGCTGCATTACACACACAGCCGTGCAGGCGCAGCCTTGATACTCACAGCTGTGAAACGAAACCTTAGCCTGATGTCTCCGTCTCAGTCATTGGGGGTCACAGGATGCTGAGAACATTGGCAAAGTAGGAAGAGTGAAACCAGCAGCCAGAGCTAATCTTACCACCCCCACTGTTTATTAGAATGTCTGTAACAAACACTGTGTATTGTGTTGCGCTCACCCGGAGCACTGGAAGCTCTGCTCTTTAGAAAACGGGAAGTAATGCCTTTTAAGGGGAAGTCCGCATTTCCAGTTACATCACGGCTCATAATCGATTATTATTCCCTGTCACAGATTTTTAGATTCCAGATACAGATGGTCCTATTCATTGGGTTTTATCATCCAAATCCACCCACAAGCCTACAGTATATGAATATGTACCATGTTTTTGGCAGGTTAGTGTATTTATTGAGACGATTATGTTGGCGATTAGCATCAATAACCATTTAAATGTTATTTGGAAGAGGAAATGAGCAGCTGGTTACAATTTATCTTTTAACCGGAAAGGAGAGATTTACCCTGTTACAGTATTTGCATATCTGAAGCATGTGCAATGATTCATTTTAAATTCCCCAGTGCCACAAAGGTTAAGCCTGTCTCTCTCAGGCTGCAGCCACATGGACACATAAAAAAAAAACCACACATTTAATCCCTCCAGCTACTGCTTGGTTGCGTGGTTGTTCAGTTGCTGTGCTACAAGTGACGCCTACACAGGCGAAAAAAAACAACTTTTAAAAAAAATGCCTGCTTCCACTTTTGGAGAGGTGTTGTGAGGATGGAAAAGAAAGGGGGGGAAAAAAAGGCACGACTTCAGCGTGGGTTACGTGCAAAACAGGAGTGACTCTGCTGATTTTACGGATGGAGGGAGGAAATGTGGACTGTATTTTTAAATGCAACTGTGGAAGTGTTTCATAAGCCCAGTCTGTGTGACTGGCAGTGTTTCACAGTGGCCACAGCAATGGATGTAGTGATCCACACACACACACACACACATGCAGTACACCTAAGCCTGCACAGACGGACAGAGCCACACAAACGGGAACGGTGCAGATGGGCTGACACATGCACATAACACGTGGATATGCACACACAACCGTGCGCATAAGCTACTCTGCCGCTCAACTCCGAAATGAAACGCCTCAGTGGGCCTGATTGGATTTGATAAGTGTCGATTTGATTGAAACACAGTTCTGCAGTGTGTGTGTGTTGCAGGTGTTACAGGATATTCTGTCAAGAGTCACCTCGAAGTGTTGACTCTGTTTCTGTCTGCCCGCCTCTCTCGCTCACATCCGCTATAACAATCAAATTGACTGGGTTTTTTTCTCCCACATCAAACTCTCCACCACTTCCTGGGTGGAAGCTGCTCCGTCCCCCTCGGTGCCGTCGAGCCGATGCATTTCACATGGTCTTCTCATCTACATCTGCACAGATCCGTGT